CTGATACTTATCATTATCCAATTGATATACTTTAATCTATCATTTCTTAGAATGAAAGCAAGATTTATTTCATTTCCCATTGAAGTGCATCGATACATTCTACAGTGTATCGATATATCCTTTAACATGTGCATCGATGCACTACCCCATGCATCGATATACAATTTACATTCGATGTTTCCATTTTAAGGGGTATATTGATGCACTCCCTATGCATCGATGCACTCACTACATTCGATGTTCATTTAATTGAGAGTGCATCGATACACAATGAATGTGCATCGATGCACACAACCCAAAAATTCCAGTTAGAGCACGAAATTCACTTTTTTTTAGCTCAACTCTTCATATTTCATCCCCTTTTATATTCTTAACTCACATACACATATTCAAACTCATTTCTATTCATTCATCACCTCTTTAACATCAAAATCCTATTCTCCATATGTAATTCAAGAATTATACTAAATTTTCAACATGTTCCAAATTCAATTCTATTATTTCTAACTTCTTAATTAGACCCTTAACAAGTCAAATTTGGTCTGGAAATCCCATAAATGTCTTTCTACCAAGATTTCATTTATTCACTTCCTTCCTTTAATCCTTTCTATACCTTTCCTCTTATTGTTTTATGACAAATTAAGCTTTCCTTAAACTTAAGAGTCACTTGATAATCGAAACCAAACTTAAAATTCAATAAGAAATCAATTAACCAGAACTCACCTTTGCTCTTGGCTTCCACGTGAAGAAAAAAAAGAAGTAGAGAACTCTAGAGAAATCTCTCCCTTTCCACGTGGTTCTCTTATCTTATAAAGGAAAATAAAAATCTTACTTGTTAATTGACCATTTTACCCTTTAATTCATTCAATAATTACTAAACAACCTTCAACTATATTTCCAATAAGTCATTAAACTATTTAACTATTCTACTTTTATCACTAAGTTTCAAAAATTCTCATTTTAGTCAATAACCCGGATTTCGGGATATTACAGGAGGTTGTGTAGATCTTCTTCGATGGTAAAGGGTAGGGTCAACTTGGGTTTAGGGGTTGAAATAAAGGTTTTTAAAGTTTAGGGGTTATTTCAAAATTTATGTGTTTTCATTTATATATATATATATATATATATATATATATATATATATATATTAAATTTTTATATAAAATTTTAAAAATTATCAGGTTGTGACACGTGTCACTTAACAGGGAGAACTAACACTGTTAACAGTCTGGGCACCTAAATACGTAACGTTTGTAACGTTAGGCACCCGGATGGGCTAAAAAATATAGGCACTTATTTGACACAAAAGTTATAGTTTTAGCACTTATTTGGGCATTAACCCTTTAATTAAAGGGTTTATTTGACTTTTTTTTTAAATAAAAAAATTTCTAATTTAAAATAAAAATTATTAAAAAATTAAATATCAAAAATATCAAAAATAAAATTTAATTACTAAAAATTAAAAATATATTATTATATTTTACCTCGAATTTAATTTGATTTTTATTTATATAAACATGATTTGTCCATCCTATACAAATTTTATTTTATACATTTATCTCTAATTATCTAAAACTCTAAATATCTTTCTAATTCGATTTCACTTAAATTTTATAAAATTGAATTAAACAGATATTTTAAAGTGTAATAAAAATAAAATTTTAAAGTTATAAAATTAAAATTAGGTATAGATTATCATAAAATATATAATTAAAAATATTAGAAAAATAGTTATACAATTAAAAAGAACATATTAGTGAAAATAACATGATAGAGGAAAATAAAATTCATTAAATATGAAATCTATGTTTTTGAGATTTTTTTTATTACCCTAATATTTATTTTTTTAATTTTCCAAGGAATACAAAATTTGTCTCTATAAAATAAAAATAAAACAAAACTCACATTAAAACTGACATGTATGAACATAACAATATAAAAATATATATATAATTATACTAGTAAATAAAATAAAATTCACAATATAATTCGTCTCTAAATTGAATTAATCATTTAACAATAACATTTTCAATCACTCTGATTAATATATTATATATATTTAATTTTTTTTAGTAATTTAACCTTTTTTAATATATATATATATATATATATATATATATATATATATATATTTGTATAGTTTAAATTTAAAATGTTTTTTCTAAAAAATCAAATAAGCCCTTAAATTTAAAAAATTAATTTTACCCTCTAAATCGACTAAAAACCAATTTAACTCATTTGTCACGTCATCAGTCACGTTACCAACCATCATAGATTGTCACATCAATACCGTAAAAATATTACATTAACACTATAATGATTAAAAATGAAAACTATTGGTCAAATGGTAGGTATGTTTTCTAAGTTTTAGGATCACATTAAGTGTAAAAAAGTACGATGGTCTCACATGGAAAAATTAGCCCAATAATCCTGGTGCAATAATTATTTAGGTTTCTAGACAATTCAAAAATTAATTAGCAATCTACGACATTTTTTAGATTGGGAATTCGTCACATATAGGCGTAACGAGTTCCAATAAAATATATTTTTTATTAGAACTTGTTACTCCAATGTGACAGATTATAATAAAAATTTTATGACGAGTTTGAATAAACTTTTTTTGAAACTCGTCTCCTCCACATGACGAATTCGTCCTTCATTGTAGTAAATTTCATATATCCTAAAATAAATTTTGAACTGCCTTATTGAGTTAAATAAATTATCCGCCTAGATTATTGCATTCATTTAGCCGAGTTTTGACACTCCTAGAGTTTTGGTAAATTTACATCATCTCTACAATATGTTAAATTTTTTAATTGAACTCTTCAAAAACTTTAAGAATTCTTATAAATTTTTTGAGTTTTTTTTAAATATTTTAAATTAAATCCTTTTAGGATTGTTAATTTTTATTAAACCTCATGAGATCTTGGAAATTTTTAATATAAAATTCCTTTTTTGTTTGTCTTCTTTTGTGACAACTCCGATGATCCCCTCCGATTGGTTCGATGTGAATTCCTTTCTGCGCCGATTATGGTCCAATCTCATAGGCCATGAACATGCAAACAGGGGCTTAACATTTACACCTACAAATTATGAAGCCTTTGTTGTGACCCATCTCATGTCTTTGGGCTCTAAACATTAGAACTGTGGGAATTAGAAAAAAGTGCAGAGGCCTGTCGACTTAAGCTCAGATACTAAAAGTTTGGTCTCAGGTTCGAGTCTTTGTATATGTAAAAAATTTCCGTTGAGAGACTCATCCATTAAAATTAGGTGTGTAACCCGGATCGATCCAAATTAATCATAACTTAACATTGAAATTGGAGGGGAAAAATAACCGACAAGTTCACCTTCCACTTCCTAATAGAACAGTAGCATCATAATAGACTAGTAGAGGCTAGCAAACCGAACTTACTGCGAGTGGGCATATTACCAATTGAAGTAATTGAGCACGTGGCACAACAAATTATATATATATATATATATATATATATATATATATATATATATATATATATATATTAACTACATTAAACGTTTAATGCTTGATGAATTTGTACTAGTCGAGAGGGAATGGAAATTGACATACGTATTCTTCACGTGCCGATTATGCCAATGGGGATATTCTCTCCACATGGCTTTAGAAAGAGAGCTCCCTCCAAACGGGAGCTTAGTTGGTTTTAAAATAAATATTTTAAAGATATAGAATTATAAAATTTTAAGATATATAAAATTAAATTATAAAAAAATTATGTAAGATATAATAATCCTAAGAGAATATAGGCTTGAACATCTCTCTCAATTTATCTCTAAATACGATATTATATATTCATATGAAAACAAATCTGAATTTAGGATAGAGGTGTTGCCAATCTCAAACGTGGTGAAATAAATTTGGCCCGCAGTTTCTATTTTATGCAAAGGAGGTGATCTATCTTTCCCAGCGATTACGTATGGCCAACCATTTGATGCATGGAAATGGAACAAGTTTGGCAAATGCTTTTATCCAACCTTATTAGTTATTACATATATCTTGCTTCAGCGGGTGGATCTAGAATTTTTTTAAGATAGACATACATATATTAATAATATAAAATTTTTATATCAAAATATATATGATAAAATTTCAGGGTGAGCACACGTATATATTAAAAAAAATTTAAATTTAAGAAAAAAATCGAATTCTAAAAAATTTCAAGATAAACAAAACACCAATGTGCATCCGTCTCGCCTTCCTATGTTCTTTGACAAATGAAAAGGGCCACAATGCTCTTCATTCACATCTTAGCTGCAAATCACAAATTTAAATAATAATGTCATATTTGTCAAGTTTCAACCATTCACCCACGTGTTTTTGTTCATTGCGTTCGTTGAAAAAAATCTCAACTTCGCTAAGCAAATGTCGAATTTGCAAATTTAATAATGCATGTAAATAAGACTTTTAAAGATGAAAAAATTTTAAAATTTTTATTATTCGATTCGATTTATATTTAAATTTAAATTTAGAATTAATGAATAGTCTAAACCCAACAAATTTAGTTGGAAGACGAGAATTGGCTTGGGAAGTCATTGAATACAGCTATGAAGGGGGGGGCCCTCCACAATCTACATCAATTTCATTATTTGTGTTACAGCTCATGCTTTTAGGCACGAGAAATTACTAATTTTGGGATTCCATGAGCCATACACATTCGGTACCTCCAGGTCAATTGCTATCCAGAAATTTGTACGATAACTTCAAAATTTTATGTTCTGAAATTATTATTATTATGATTAGATTGACATGACAAACAAGATTAGCCGGTGCTTAATACGTAAACACTGCAAGAAGACGGATACTAGGCTAGACAGGTAGTTCGTTAATCTTAATTTTCCCAAATTCTTACATGTCTCGCTAAAATAATTTTTACACTTAAAAAAGCCCAATCATTTCTTTGCTTTTAATCATTTAATCACATCACCTTAATTTACCACTAATCAGGAACACCGGCTTACTTATACCCTGATTTTTGTAAGTCGGATGGTGAGAGAGATAAGGTCTTTGTTCTCCAAAGCATTAAAAGAAAACCGAGTAAACCTCACTGGAAGTGACTTAGTTCGCAACTCCCAAGGTCTCTTTCGAAGAATCGAAAACGAAGGAAAAGCAGTTGCATTTAAAAACCCAACGTCTCTAGTTAATAATTTCAAACAAAGTTTGCCTCTTTGCTCCTTTTTTTGGGTTTTTTTTATGTGACGTTTGGAAGTTTTTTTCTTAAATGGATCCACCAGCAATAATGAGTGATGACGGGTACAATATATCGGAGATCTGGCAGTATCACGTAAGTTCAGGTCAATTTGGGAACGTGTCGGGTCATTTCGTAGACCCGAATCGAGAGTTATCGGGTAATGATCCGGTGGACCTGGAGCAGCGGCGGCAGAGAGGAGTTGGTGTGAGGCGGAGGCGTGATGGGGAAGATGGGTCGGCTAAGATTGTCTCCACCGGTAGTGGCAACGGCGTGGTATTCATTTTCACTCTGTTTAATTCAACTGAATTTTTTGCTGTTTCTTGTTGGATTCATGGCATTTGTTGCTAATTCGGGCAGAAAATTGATGATGGGAAAAAACTTAAAGCATCAGGCTGTAGAGACGAGCACGATGATTCTAAACTCAAAGTAGAACCCAGTTCAGGCAAGCTAGTGGAAGTGGAACAGAATGCTCAACCACCAGAGCCACCTAAGAAAGATTACATCCATGTCCGTGCTAGAAGGGGTCAAGCTACTGATAGTCACAGTTTAGCAGAAAGGGTAATTTCCTTCATCATTGTCCTGGAAACCATTTTGAAATTCTTGTAATGCATGAAAATCGATATTTCGATACAATGAAGATGCCTTTGGTTAAGGTCGAACAAAATTCATAGCATTTGACATAGATGGAGGGTTTTGCATATGTTTCACTGATCCGAATCGTTCGATGGGCAGGCTAGGAGAGAAAAGATTAGTGAAAGAATGAAAATTCTTCAGGATCTGGTCCCTGGTTGTAATAAGGTATACTGATGAAAGTTCTTAAACTGTTTCTTGTTGCTACCATATTGAAACTTCTCTTCAGTTTCTTGCTAAGGTGTTTAGTGTACCCAGGTTATTGGCAAGGCTCTTGTCCTTGATGAGATAATTAATTACATCCAATCACTACAACTTCAGGTCGAGGTGTGTATCCTTTCACTTATTGATCGCTTTTTATTTTACATTTTCCCGTCTCGAACGAACATTCTGAAACATTATTACCGGGGTTGCAGTTCTTGTCAATGAAGCTTGAAGCAGTCAATTCAAGAATGAACCCTGCCATTGAAGTATTCCCTCTTAAAGATGTTAGTACTTATTCTGCTGTTGACTGTGTAGTTTATCACATTCTTTTCTAGTTGTTAGCATCGGCACATGCTTTCTACTTTGAAGTTCTGCAAACCTAAAGTTAGAGGCTCACAAGTCATATAGAAATTGAACTATGTTTGGCCTAGAATCCATGTCTGGTTGAAGAGCACATCGGTACCGTGTTAAACATTTAGTTTCTATAGAATCTTTGTCGTAGATCTGGTTTTCTATCATTGAATTCATTGTCTTACTTGCAGTGTCTCCTAGATTTGTATATGTTATAACAATTGATTTGGCATTTCAGTATGGACAACAAACGCTTGATACGACTGGGATGGCATTTGGTTCGCAAGGAACAAGGGAATTCAGTCGCGGTACATCACCAGAGTGGTTGCATATTCGCGGTGGTTTTGAAAGAACAACGTAATCTCGAAAATTCCTTGTCAAGCAGCAATAATAACATTCATTTCCAATGTATATTGCATCTCGGTATACCGAAGAGAGTATACTTTCTTTCCCAGGACATGAGGCTTCCAGCCGGCATTGCTGTCTTAAAGAAGGCTAAAGTTAGTACCTGAACATCTTCGTTGTTGTGTTTCAGAGAATGTGTCCTTTTACATCATCTATTGTTTTATCAGGCTTTACAGCCTTCTCTGTACTAATACCTGAACAGAATCTCGTAGAATCGTAATTGTTGTTGTACAAGAAAGCTGCTTTGTTCAGAATTACAGATGCTTACATGTTGTGTCAACTTTGTTTTAACGTTGTGTTTGTTAAAAAAAATAAAATTGTAATAAATAAATACACCAAAACATCTGTGGCCTTTTCTATTCCAACGTTTTCTCCAAGAGAGCTGGAAAAACTTGGATAATCTTTTAGTCTGCTGGCTCTTGTCCAGTGATTCTTCATCACCATCAAAATCATCTTCATTCTCATGAACTAAATAAATCCCGGTTTTCTTCAGCTCTACGCCCAGGTTTCGCCTTGTCACTTTGATCTTTAAACCATCCTCCAACAATGAAACCATGCGAAGATATGCCGGATATCGACACAAGCGAACATCGTCTTGGTTTGTCTTCGGTACCCCAATTAAGTGCAAGACAGTGGTGAATATTGCCTTGTCACCATCGAAGATCTGCGCTTGAACTTCCACCACCGAAGGTATTTGATCTCTCAGTTCATCTGGCATATATGATGGTTAATGGAAACATCTGTCACCATTATCACCCCAGTTTGATTTCTCAGGTTATTGAGATAAACCTGCAAAACCATAGTTCGTTTTGTTGGATATTGAAGACTTGAAGTGAAAATTTGTTTTAAAGATCGTTATCCTATACATTAACCAATGATACTGTTAACCTTAGAGAGCCTTTTCTTTGCTGCAGTAGCTCATGTACAACGTCCTCGAGGACTCTATTAACTCAAGGCCTGGAATATCCGCTAACTTCTCGCAATTTGTGAGGTTTAAATCTTTTAAGCCCTCTAAATTGAAATGATCAGATAGATTCTCCAATGAAATACAGTTTGCAACATTCAAGTTCTCTAAACTTGAGGGAAGTGGAGAGAGGGACTCGAGCTTTTCACAGTTGGGCAGTCGGAGATCTCTGAGAACTTCTCCGAAACCATCTGGGATTTCACCACATTCTCCAGACCCAAACATCGAATTATTGTAATGACTACAGATTTGTGAAAAATGTTGGCAATACTACTAATGGTGAATTCGGTTGCACTTGTGTACTCTGTTTCTCTCCCGTTTTCAGTACCTGCAAGCTTGTGATCGAAGGTTTCCGGTAATTCCTTACAGCTTACTTTATATACTACTAACTCCACTCTTTCTTCGTAAGGGATTCCATAAAAGTGAAAAATTTGAGGCATTTTTGTACTCATCCTCTTGAGTTTGTCCCTCAAATACAGGTAGTTTCACCCTAGGCCTCGGTATCATGGACCCCGAGCTCCCAAATGACCCCCTTGTCCTTTCCTTGTGTCGGAACCATCTTTCGGTTGGACTCGGAATTAAGCTTCGACTTGGAAAATATGGATTGGAGTCGCCACCGATTATTTATTTTAAAGCAAATGGGTTGATCGGATACCTTATTTATTACCTGATCTGCGTCTTACCAAAGATATGTCGGATTCGGGAGTCGGTTACAGTCAAGGAAGGGTTAGCCCCCTTGAACTGCCATTTCGATACTATATAATTTCTAGTTGTCTTAAAAAATTATAAGTTTAAATTAAAAGGTAAAATAACGATTCCAACCACTTACCTCTAATCGATTTGAAAGTATATCCAAAAAAATCGAGAAACGAATTAACGGAAAAATGTAAAAAATAAAAATAAAAATAAAGAGAGAAAAATAAATAAATAAAATAGATAAAATAAATAAAACAAAAGAAAGTAATAATAATGATAAATATACATAATAACAGCAAGAAGAAAGTAAAAATAAGTAAATAAATAAACATATAAATAAAATATAAGGAAAATAAAATAATAAAAATAATATATATATATATATATATATAATAAAAGATATGAAAAAAAAGATCAAAACATATAAAGATGACGTTATATAAAAACAAATAATATACCAAATAATAATAATAATAATAATAATAACAAAACAAAAAATCACCTAACACCACTAATACCACCTAACGGGAAGAAATTGAAAAAGCGAGCCCTATAAAATAGTAATATATATAATATAATATTTAATAAGATAATTAAAAAATAATAAAAATATATACATACATGAACGTTAGGAAAACAAAATAAATAAATAAATAAAATATATATGATAAGATATAAAAAATAAAAAAATAAAAAGATTAAAATAAAATAGAATATATATATATATATATATAAAATAACGTATAAAAAAATAATAGTAATAAGAAATAAGAAAAAAAGTGAACAAATAAAAATAATAAAAATAATAAAAGGACTAAATTAAAAGGAAAACAAAATTGGGGGTATATATAAAAAGAAATTTAATGTGCAAATTCGATTTAGGGGGCAAAGTAAAAGGATTTAAACTCAAAAGGACTAAAAATGAGATTTTCCCTTTTTAAACAGAAACACGCGGGTCACATGGTATTGGATCGGGTCGTGGGTCAGTTAAATGGGTACTATAAGTACCACTTATATGCCAAAATCCCTCATTTCCTTTCCTTCCAAATGAATGCTCCCCCCCCCCTTTGATCATATTTCCTCTGTAATGTTCATGGGGTGTTCTTCGTTTTGAAGAACACCCACCGTATAAACCCAGAAATGGTCACCGTGCCGCCTCACCGCCGTCGTTCATTGGCGGAATTTTTTTAAACAATTTTCGAAAGCTTTTCAAAACCACTTTTTTAAAAATCAAAACGTATTTTTTAAAAATATAAACCTCGGGGGCTAGATCTACAAATGAAGATCTTGAAAACGCCCCTCCGTTCATCGGTTTTTCGAAGCAAAAACGGAAAAAGGGAGAGAAACAAGCCACGTCAAGCAAGAACCGAAGCAATATAGGTAAAAATACCTCTTTTATTTCTCTTTGAACCGTACACACTCTTTGATTTTCTCTTATTTCCTTTGCTTTTCTCGTGTGTATAGTGTGTGTGCCTTGTTTGATTTACGAGCTTTTTTATACACAAAAAGAATTGCTATTTTAGACTAATTTGAGTCCTAATCGAACTCTACTGTGTTGGTTATTGGTGTCCCATACATGCACGCCGATTGGAGGCCGAAAATGTGGGATTGTTGCTTGAAATTCGGACACGGGTGAGAAGAATCCACAGAAGAAATGGCGTTGTGGGGGAGATGGGGTTAGGGTTCCACGTGGGCTGCTGCTGGGCTTGTAGTTCCTTGGGCCAGCTGGTAACATGGGTCCTGAAATATAAATAAAAGATTAATATATGCTTATATAATAGAGAAAATAACCTCAGTGACCGAAAATGCCTTATAATATATGATTTTAACCAACTTTTTTTGGATTTGCGAAAATGACCAACAAAATCGCAACGCGATATTAAATTCGCAACGCGAATTCCAATTTCACAACTCAGTTTCCAAATTCGCGTTGCGATAGTCGGAATTCGCGTTGCGATAGTCCAAAATCATTGCGATTTTCTAAATTCGCGTTGCGATTTTCCAAATTCGCGTTGCGATAGTCCGAATTAAGCTTATCTTATTTAATTGTTGTAGGATTATAATTCGCATTTGCTTCTTAAGAATTTTCCCTAAAAAGATAATATCCGCGCGGACGTGTCGAAGACACGTATTACCATTACCATTACCATTACCATTACCACGACCATTACCACGACCACGACCACGACCCCGACCCGACCCGAGACGAGACGAGACGGACGGCGGCAGCGGTGCGCGAGAGTCCCCCTTGTTCTCTTTCACTCAACAAGGAAGTGGGAAATCCAAGCCTTAAATACCCATTCCCAATAGTGTTTCCAATACTATGTGGGATTGAGCATTACCAACACTTGTTTCCAATGCTAAGTTGAAACATTTAACATTTGGAAGTTGGAACACATTTAACACATTTAACACTTCTCTTACCCCAACTTTCGCTAAGTACATTGCCTTCTCAAGCATTGATTAAACCTTCTCATTTAATCATTAACATAGATCATATGCTTAGCTACTTAAAATATAAAACAATAATTACGTTTGTCATTGTAGGTAATACCACTAGTGCATGAGAATCACATAAGATTTGTTGAAATTGTGGGGTGGAAATATAATCAACACAATACGAATGTGTTCCAAAAGGATGCATCTACATCTTGGCCACCGAGTATGATGTTCACTTGGTTAAATGTATTTCAACTTCCAAATGTTAAATGTTAAATCTTTCAACTTAGCATTGGAAACAAGTGTTGGTAATGCTCAATCCCACATAGTATTGGAAACACTATTGGGAATGGGTATTTAAGGCTTAGATTTCCCACTTTCTTGTTGAGTGAAAGAGAACAAGGGGGACTCTCGCGCACTGCCGCCGCCGTCCGTCTCGGGTCGGGTCGGGTCGGGTCGTGGTTGTGGTCGTAGAGTCGTGGTCGTGGTAATACGTGTCTTCGACACGTCCGCGCGGATACTATCTTTTTAGGGAAAATTCTTAAGAAACAAATGCGAATTATAATCCTACAACAATTAAATAAGATAAGCTTAATTCGGACTACCGCAACGCGAATTTAGAAAAGCGCAATGATTTTGGACTATCGCAACGCGAATTCCGACTATCGCAACGCGAATTTGGAAACTGAGTTGTGAAATTGGAATTCGCGTTGCGATTTTGTTGGTCATTTTCGTAAATCCAAAAAAAGTTGGTTAAAATCGTATATTATAAGGCATTTTCAGTCACTGAGATTATTTTCTCTATATAATATAGTATGAACGTATGACATAGTACATATATTATATACTATAATAAAATATTATGGACAAAGAAAAATGTGTGTCTACACCTTGCATCAGCATATACCCCTTGAGGCATTTTTGTTCCACTATTACCCCTCATCTGAATATCTAAGTATGCTGGATTTTTTTGAACTCTTGTGATTTTGACTGAAGAATACCAGGCTCATCTGGTTGGTATGAGAATTGTGACTTATCATCTATCACAGTCACCAACATAGGCTTTTTTCCATCAGTTTTAGAAGGGTTAGTGGTCTTAACCTTGTCACTTCTTGAGCTCGTTTGTTCCTGCACCGCATTCCTCCCAGTCATAATCTTCAGGATATCTTCCACATAAGTTT